GAGAGCTTTGTTCTCAGTTTTCCTGAAATTTCTCCTTCTAGGTTGCATCCATCAATTGTATGCATTGCCACCCAGGATTGTTTTTCATGGGACCAAGAACATCTAAAGAGACTTTTATACCTTGAAGCTGCTTAAAGATCCTTTATCAAAAGAGGTCTAGCTGTTTAAATTCCAGTGGAGTTTTTATTCTGGCATTTCTTTTTAAAAAACACGTTCCATCTATTCCTAGCTCTCCCACTGATCCACTGTGTGGGTTTGGGTAAATCATTTGAGCTCCCTGAGATTCAGCATCTCTGCATGTGAATGTCTGCCTGCAAGTTTGTCGCACGCGTTCCTTAAATTACGGCTATTATTTTCCTTCATGTATATTTGGATTTTTTTCTTTCTAGCAACAAGGATGTTACAGTTCAGCATGCAGAATTTTAATAAAGAAAATGAGAAAGGTCAAAACCCACTATTGTATGGGGAAAAACATAGAACCTTCAGTGAAAAAAAGTAAGAGTATAGAATTTTACAGACAGCATAACTCCAATTTTAAAAATAGTTATTTATATATAAATACCTTGCTTATAATGAATCATACAGGTACAAAGGATCAGGAGAGAGAACTGAACTTGCAGGTGATGGAACTAAGTCTTAAGAGAAGTTGAGTGACACAGGTCACATAGTCAGCAAATAGGAAAGTCAGGAACTGAATCCAGAGAACCTGAGCACATATGTTGTATTTCTAATCTTTATATAATGTTGCTTCTTAGGTAATTTAAATACCCTATAATCATCATAGCATCCCTACAAGGTCTTCATTATTATCCTACTTTTATAGTCATAGCATATGTGGGGCGCAGTTTCACCATCTTTGAAATGGGTATGAAATGAACATCCTCAGGAGAGGGTCAGTGAGGATCAAATGAGAAGATGCACGTGACAGCTCATAAAGGGTTTTGCATTGAATATAGATACAGCACACAATTTTGGCAAGTGGGGAACACAGAGAGATTCACACTGACTGGGTACAGCAGGAGGCAGGCTAGATGGCAGAGCAGCCTGACCGAGGACCAGGAGCCATGGAAGTTACCGAGTCACACTCAGGATCTGTTTGCTGCTTTAAAATCTAGACAGCAACCATACATGAAAAACAAAAACAAACCAATAAAGCTGCTCCCAGTTCAGCCATACTGTGTAACTTTGGTCTCACATCTTAAAAACACTGCAACAGCATTCTTCATGAAACTCGATATTCAAGTTTAATTTGAAAAGGGCTGCTTTCAGCCTGGCAAGCTGGGAAAAGAGGACATGAAAATCCTCAGGTGGTTTGAGAGGTGTGCTGGCATATGATGGTGCCTTGTGTCTGAGGTCTGGGTAGGGGGAAAGGCTGCTCTAATGTGGCTGGACCCTACAGGCTCTGGCAGATTCCGCCCTGGCCAGCTAAGCCCCTGGGTCCACACCAAAAGGAAACAATAAGGAAATAAGAAAGCCAGTTCCTCAGTGTCGTGGAGTAGATGCATAATTGCTTTGCAGACTGAAACGACATTCGGGTTATTATCACAGCCTTGTAGCCTCTGTGGTGCTGCTGTCTGGGTTTGAGTAAGGGCTCACAGCACGTCCAACATGAGAAATGTCACCAGGAGAAGGCGAAACGCTCCGGGTGCACAAGGCCCTGTGCAGTGGCTGGATTCTGGGTTCTAACGTGGGCTGAACTGGTGTGACTATCTAGTGTGTGATGTACAACACTCTGGGCTCCAGTTTCCCTGTCTGCAACATGAAGCGGGCAGAGGGAAGGAGCTGAAGTTGGTTTCTCTGATGTCCCTGCAGTCCTGTTATTTAACTCTGCTAATTCCTTCTCCATGCCCCCAAGTCATTTCAACCGCAAACAACAACTCAGGGTGACTGTAACACTAATTCCCTCACTCTGAGTTATTTATCTGGGATTATGCGGCATCCCCTGTTATGACTGAAATAAAGGTACTTATTTCATCCTGCTTCCATTATATCTAGTCATTTGGATGACAATTTCTTCCAAATGACCGTGAGCTTCCCGAGGGAGAGACTGGGCCGTGCTCATGGATCTTTATATCCCATCACAAAGGAGCAAGGTGCCTAGCTGACAGCAGAAGCCCCACACGTGTGCTGGCTTGAACTGAAGACAGCCCCGTGCAGTGCTCTGCACAGAACTGCCCTCTTTCTCCCTCGTCTCAAGCTGGGTGCGCTTAGGGAAGGCCCAGCAGAGATAAAGAGGCCAGTGGCGGTGAGCCTTGCCCCCTTTGGCCCTATGGTTATTTCATCTGTGCAAACCTGCAAAGCAGGAACCCTCCGTACCGTCGTCACTGCCCTGCCCTGCCATGGCTGGAGAGCCAGTGAAGTGAAAGTGAGGCACTTGAAGTGAGGCACTTCCTCATTTCACAGCTGAGAAATCAAGGCCAACTGATGACCTGTCCTCCCCAGATGGTTGTGTTTGCAATTGTGATGGCCCATGTAGTGCACCCGGGCACCTGATAACATCAGTTGAATGAGTGGCTCTTGTTTTATCACAGCAATAATCCCCCTGTGTTGTAAGTACCAGCTGTTTCTCTCTCCCTTTAGATTATGAACTTTTTAAGGGCAGGGACCATGTCTTATTTATTTCTGAAGCCCTTGTGACCAGGACAGGGCCCAACGTGACGCAGACAATCAGTTGTTTGTCAAATGAGTGAATGAACTCACATTACAGTGCTTTTGTATAGCTTTGCTAAAAATATGTACAAACTCATGTTGGTCCATAACATATTCAAAAAATTGCAAGAGATATATTCTCCCGCAGCTGGGGATTTTCTGATTGTTCTTTTTCACTTTCTGCTGGCTCATCTCTCAGAGCAGCTGGAGGAGGCTCCATTCCCCTGGGACTGGATCAGTCCCATTTCCTATGACAAGTTTTTTCTCCCACTGAAGCAGTGAGGCTTTGGGCTACCGTGTGCTCAGGCCTCACATAAACTTGTGAGCGTTCATGCTGGAAGGGTTGGCTCTGAAGTATGGCAAACAGAGGTTACAACAATACTGCATTTTATGGACAGAATAAAAGAACTCTGCTTTGTAACCCATTTCTGCATGTGTGATGAGGGAGTGTGCTTTTCCTCTGCATTTCCCAAAGACATTCAGTTCTTTTGCTGCCCAGATGTTCAACAGCTGTTTGGAGGCTTTGGTCAAGATTCTGGATGCTTGAGAAGGGAATGACTTCTCTTCCCTTTTCTTCTATTCCATGAATGTTACTATCTGTCATTACAATTGTGCCCACACGGGCAAAGTAAAGGGGGTGGTGGTACTGAGCTAACCATGCAGATAATGTAGGCTGACATCTCTTTCTTATGAAGAGCAAACATGATTGCTCTTTATCTGGCCCACAGAGAGGGCTGTGGTACCCTTCCTTGCTTTGCCCTGCCTTTCCCTGTGATGATCTTTCAGAGTGGAAAGCCCATTCCTTTGCAGGAAACGTCTTCCTATTCAAGAATCATTTCTCCGAGGAAAGTTTTATGACTCCCACAGCAACCAGCGTACAACCTCGTAAGAACACTTATTACAGGCCGTTAGCACTTAATTTTGGGTCTTTCTCCCACATTTGAGTTCCTGGAGTGTAGGGACATGACTTGCTCTTCTCTAGGCCTGTCAGAAAGCCTAGTCTCATAATAGAAGCTCTGGATATTTATGCAGCACAAGGATTGAGGAACTCCACAAGTTTCATGTTGATTAAGAGACATTTCAACATTGCAAGATCTCAGAAGGAGAGTTTGCATCAACTGCCCCTGTATCTACCAAGGCCCATAGGCACCTATTGACAGCTGCTCCTCTGGACCTAGGCTTTCTGCACCTGGTCCAGCAGCCACTGCCTCTTGGCCTAAGGCAGCATATAGGAGGACTGCAAGGTGGCTTGAACAAAGACCAGTGGTCCCAAATGGCCCTTTCTAGGCTGCTGGAGATAATTCAAAGCAAGGTCGTACTGTTGGCTTCTTATGGTGCTTTCAGAGTTTAGAAACCTTCTAAGTACAAAGTTTCCAAAGGCTGGCATGCTGAGTTTTTCTTTGCCAATGCAGTATAGTAGAAATCATGCATAAACATGTGTGGACTAGGTCAACTGTTAGGCCATCATTAAAAAAGAAGGGCAAACTGTTTTGATTTTTTATATCTCCATCTTTTTATTCTCTTAAGAACCCTTCTGAGATTGGTGAAATCAGGCATCCTCCAGGAGGGAAAGTAGAACGTATTGTGGCTGTATTTATGCCACTTTATCTCATAGACACATGAAGGCAAATTTATGACTGATAAAACATTGGAATGGTCCTTACGGTCCAACGGCCTCATTTCATAAATATGGAGAGTGAAATGCAGAGACCTCAAGTAGCTTGCCAAAGGACACAGAGGGAGTCAAAATCAGGGGTGGAATTAGAACCCAGGTCCCTTTATTCTACAAGATTAGCCCCTGCTTTGTTGAGCTTTGAATGTCTAGCACTTGAAAAAAATTCAAAGCAAAGGCAAATACTATTACAAACCCACAGGAACAGAGAGTGTGGAGATAAAGGTGTCCTTTGATATGCCTGGGAACAGTTGTGACCAGAATAAGAAGAGAAAGGACCTTAACCAAGGTAATAGAGCTTACCTGCAGTGTAGAAGCATACCGTGTCCCCACCATAATAGGTTCTGTGATACAGAATGGTCTCTTCTAATCTGTCCCCAACAAGGGGGACCCATACTTTTCCCAGGCAACTCATTCAACTGTGGAGTTATTTGAAAACTCTGTCTTATTTATATCAGCTGCTGGATGGTAATTAACTTTATTTACATTAGTTAATTTAAATGGATACAAAAGGAACTAGTATGCACTCTCTAGGCCACCTGTGCATACTTCTGCTTGCCCCAGAGGACCCTAACTGGACAGCTGGTGTTGATAGCCTGTTAACTCCAGAATTGCTCACCCTCCACTCTGGGGCTCCCATCCTTGGAGCTGCCTGAGCGCATGGGTACCAGAATCCTACCTCCATCATTGTCTTTGCTGTCTCCACAGGCGGTTTCCATCGAAGTGTCACAGCCAGCTCCTCTCCAGCCCAGGTGGCAGACGCACTGCCACCCATTCAGGTCCAAAGTACATTTGCCGTTACCATTGCACAACCCAGGGCAACCCTCTGCAAGACAAAGGATACAAGGTCAAGGTCTAGATGCTCAGGGCCAATTGCCCTCACGTACATTCACGCTCCACCTGTCAGCTTATGCAGTGCTCTCACATCTGTCAGCACGCCCAGGCCACACAGGCCCTGGAGGCGGAGAAGGCAAGTGAGACTCAGAAAGGGGATAGGACTTGCTATGGTTGCTGTCAGATGGGGCAGGGACAGGTATGAAGGCTTTGCCTTGTGCATCTACAGCACTGACTTTCACCAATGATCATGATTCTGGAGCTGCTGTCAGTGGATGTGGCCTACTAGAATCTGACCCGTGGAGCTTTTTCCTGGTCTCTGCTTCTTGGTCACTCTCTTGTGCTCCCCCTTTCCCCGGTGGCTGTTTGCAACAAAGGAAACATCTTCTTACTCCTCCTGTCCCTCAGCACTTCTAGACCTTACTCCAAAGGATTTTGCTTTCTTCAACTCTTGCTGCTAGGTCAATTCTATTTGACCTCAGGGCTTTCATTTACTTTGTTGTACTTTCTGCCTAAAGGCTGTCTTATCTCTGAGCAAGAGAGCTTGGGCCTTTTTCTTGCCGTCATGTTTACACTACACTTTGAAGAGGGCTCTGCATCCAGAGGAGCTCCAAGGGCTGTCATGAGACCGACAAACTCGCACCGTCTGTGCGTGCAAATGCAGCTACAGGCAGGCTGCTCTGCTTATCCCTCTGCCTGCCTGTCGCTTACTAAGCGCTTCCCTGGTCCAGAACTAGAGGCACAGAGGCGAATGAGACCCAGTTCTCATTCTTGAGGAGCATGCAGCCTATCAAAAGACACACATTTGTGTAAGCAAAAAACTCACTGCTGAGGGACAGGAAAAAAACACAGTGGGAACTACCACAGCTATGCCCATCTGCGAGGCTGCGGGTGACCAAATCAAGGAGGGCCAGGCACACTTAGACTCTGCATTGGTTCTGCTTTGGCCCTGGGATGAGGTGGGGAGTTTTTATTACTATTCAAATAGATTTATAGGTTTTTGATCATCATCTTTTCAGACCTCTCCGTGTTTGGGGCTCAGAGATCTATGAGAGTATGTTAAGTTACAGAGGTCATCTCAGCCTCATTTTGCCATTTGGCTTTCCTCCTTTTAATAATGCTGGCCACTCCTTTCTCCAAAGGGTCACCAAAACACAGCTATCCCTTCTTTCTGCCCTGGCCTGGTCTCAGGGAGAGGTATGGGCAAGAAAGCACTCTGTCAGCTAGAAAATTTAATTTGTTTTAGTATTATAAGCAGCAAACATCTATAAATATGATCGCAAACTGAATTTTCTGCCACCAAATAAGGGAAAAATCCACTCATTATTGTTACATAGGACAACAAAAGTGAAAACGGCTGTGAACATCAGACCTGGCCCAAGGCACACATACTGGGTGGATAAACAATTAGAACCTAACACTTGAGTGTCTCAGGACTTTTGATAGTTGTCACTCCAACAGAAAAGAACGCATTTATTTCCACTTGAGGTGGTCACACAGCAACTCATCAATCCATCTGGCTACTGTGTTGTCCATTCAAAGGAAGGAGCATTTTTTGAGGGTACACTCTAAGCCTTGGAGGGAGCTCTATGGAGGTTTAGGAGGAAATACAGAATACGTGGCTGTAAGCAAGAGTTATTGGGAAGGGTGGAAAACCACCAGCTTGACCACCTCCAAAAAGTGATGGAGAAGTTATAAAAGTTATAAAAGTTATAAAAGTGTCATAGTACTGTGACATGCAGGTGACTACCCAAACATTTTGACTTGGCAGCCAGCATAGACCACACAAATAAATTTCCCCCAATAAATTTCACTTAAATTTTTATGCATCTGGCTGGGAATTGCTTTCAATTAAGTCTCATTTATATTTGAAATTAGTTTTGGAGGAATTTTCAAGAATGCTAGTAGACTGCTTTGTTTTCCTGTAAGATGTAGCCTCTTACAAGATTAAAAAAAAACTTTTATCTAAGAGCCCAAGCTTGGGAGCAATATCATTGGCTAAGTCTAGCACTCAATGGCTGTGTGACACAGGCCTAATATTAAATTTCTTTGAGCCCAGTCTTTTCTTAGTATGGGGCTATTTACTGAGAGAGATAAATAAGATGAAGTACTCATGGCACACAAAGCCTGCCATACAGCTAGAACATAATATCCAAATTTTCTACTCACCATTACTTTCTATTGGGGACAGAAGGCATGTGATATTCTAAGTAGTTACCTTAACCCGAGGTAGGGTTTACAGAAAGACAAACTGGGCAAACTAAAAAGCCATGGGAGTTGTCTTGACCAGGGTCAGCAAACTTGTTCTGTAAAGGTCCAGCTAGAAATAGCTTAGGCTGGTGAGCTACATGGAATCTGTTGCAACTACTCAACTCTGCTATTGCAGCTGGGAAGTAGTCACACACAAGTTGTGAGTAAACACTGTCCTGTTTCAATACAAGTTTATTTACAAAAATAGGTGAGGGGCTTGATTTGGTCTGTGGGCTGTAATCTGACAACTCTTGAGCTGTCCTATAGGTTTCAGAGGGACTTCAGAGGACCGGTGCACAGAATGAGGTTCATCCTCATCCAGCAGTCTGCTTCTGGAATAATCACATCCCTCATGAGGCAGCTCAAGGAAGCCTCCTCCAGGGTGACTTGCCGACTTTCTTAAAGCAATATGCCCATCCTTCCCCATGGTGGAAGCTCATTAATTCCACAAACCCCGAAACTCATCAATAATTCAGAGACCCAAGTGACATTAACAATCCCTTTTGGAAGGGCTCACACCAGGCATTTGCTGGAGCCAAAATAATGTAGTTTTAACGTTTACAGAAGGGCTAAACTGTTCAAAAGAAGTGGTGCCCTTTAAATGACAAGGGGCTGCTTTATGCTCAAGTTCTGCTTAAGCCTATGAAGACACTCCTTGCAGCTTACATCAGGTGTGGGCAGAAGACTTTCAGAATCCTTGAAGGTATTTATTTTTCAGTTAAGTAGCAAGAGGCCAATACTATACAGTACATCTATCGTATATCCAATGCCTCCCTTTTGTGTTTTCCTTTCTGTCCCTCTGAACTTTTCCATCTCTACATCCATTTCTCTACGCAGGGTTGCCATCGTTTCTTACTTGGATGACTGCAATAGACTCCTAATGGGACTTCTTGCCCTCAAGATTCCCCATCAGTTTTTCTTTCACAGTAAGATCAGATAGATAGTCTTCCAATTCACAAATCCATGCCATTGGCTTTTAAAAACCTTCAGTGGTTCTGTTACAACCTATATTCAGTTTCACAGTCTGAAAGCCTCTTTCCTAACTTGCTGGAGGTTTCCCTCCTAACAGCCCCTGGACTTCCCCTAATATCCCCATCATTAAACTTGGTTAAAATTATTTTAGTGTCTTTCCTGCTAGCCCACAGGCACCCCAAGAGAAGAGGCTGTTTCCGCTATGTTGTATGCATGTTTCCTGGCACTTAAGGGGTCCAACATAATTGTGTGGGTATATTTTTTTACTTGGTCTCTACCAATACAGCTGGAAAGAGAAAAGAAAAGCTGGCTTTTCTCTGGATTGCAAAATACAAACTTTTTTCCAACAAGTCCTGAACTTACATGGTGCAGATCTCCAAGTTCTTTTTTAGAATTAGTACCCTAATCCAGAATATCAGTCAGAAATGGGCTTGTTTAAGACTTGGATTTAACCAAGAAACATTTGCCTTTTAAATTCGTTGACCTAATTCAACTTTGGCTCTAGTATTTTCTGAATGAGAGATCAGAATATTTATTTAGAAAAGAATGTGGGCCACTTCCTGGTAAGGATGCCAATCTGGAACATGTGACTTAGAAGAAAAGTATATCGGAAATTATGGGACATTCTTGGTGACATATGGCGATAGGAATTAGAACACCAGGTGTGACTGGCCAGGTGTGATGGCTGAGGCCTCTCATTCCAGCCATTTGGGAGCTGAGGTAGGATGGTCACAATGTTGAAGCCAGTCTGGGCAACTTAGTGAGACCCTAACTCAAAAAGAAAGAAAGAAAGAAAGAAAGAAAGAAAGAAAGAAAGAAAGAAAGAAAGAAAGAAAGAATGTTGGAAACATGGGTTGGACTGGGAAAACCAAATCACTTCCTAGAAATGTGACCCAGGACCAGCCAGTCAGCTTCCATTTCCTTTTTAAATCAAATCTGTTTCCTTAAAAAACATGCACAGGGTTCACTTAAAACTCACAGGTATAGAAAGCCTTCACATTGGCAGAAAAAAATCCCATGATTAAATTGAGTTGATCCTGAAGATTCCTGATGATAAGGTGTGAAATATTGTTTTTAAAAAGGCTCTGAGGTAATACTCTTTCCTCCTTGAGGGCGAGTGTGTGGAATGCAAAGAACCTTGCTCCTCAGCCTTCTGACAGGTCCTAGCAACACCACTGCTGTGTCTGGCTAAATTGTCCCAGGTGAGAAGTGTGTAGTCAGAATCGTTCCCCAACACCTTTTCCAAAAGGGTTTCAACACCAGTTGGTCTCTCTTATTACAGTCTAATTCAGCCTTTTCCAATTCAATTCCATTTCAATTCCAGAAATTAATCTCACAAATAAAGTCTTTCTCCAAATTAAGGGCAAGAATAAGAACATGATGATAAACTAGTGTGACTCAGATTTATTGAGCATCATTCCTGTTGTGTGGTTGGCCCTTAACTTTCATTATTTCACAGAATCCTCCTGCTGACCCTATGAGGTCGGCCCTGCTAGAGATTAAAGTGTGACGTGAAGTGACTCACTGAACGTCACTCAGCTTATCAGGTGTGGGAGCTGCCGTTCTGACTCTGGCGGTCTGATACAGACTATGTGTGCCTAAGCAGAGAGCAAATGTTTTGCGTCACATGCGATGTCAGGGCTTGGGGATGAAAAAATAAGTGTGACATGATATTTCTCAGGGAGTTAAGAGTCCTTTAAGAGCACACACATCTGATCATTCTGAGAGTTATTCATAGAGTAATGAGTCCTTTTTGGAAATTGGGCATCA